CATCACCCAGGAGACACTTAGCCGGACCTGCCCACTTGGAATGTGGAGGACAAGGACCGCACACACTTCCATAGGGACGCTCTAGGGGGATGGCTGTAGGTGGTAGCTAGAGCTCACCAGTCAATGTGGACAGGTCCAGGAAGCAGTCCAAAGCTCCTCTTTGCACCCACCTTGCTCTTTCCCCAAACACAGTTCCTGATGGGTCTCGTGAAATCAACTGCTACAATACACATACACTGGCACACGTTCCCCAAATGCTTGTATCCCAGGGTGAGGGCCACTGGCTACTGCCCTGTGGAGAACTAAGTGAAAAGTCTCTAGAGAGGAGGGACACACGGACACCACGGTGGCGCTTACCCAACCCTTGCTTGGCAGCCTGTGAGCAGCAGCTGCTGGACATGTGACTCGTGAGCTTGTGACAGAAGATGGCCATGTGGGAAGTGAGACCAGACTGTGCCAGTGAAGAGCCACCAACGGGGAGGGGGAGAGAGGGATGATGTTTTAAAGTTGTCCACTAGTATTCTGGGAAAGACTGCAGTAAATTGTCTAATGTCCACCTATCCCTCCTGTCCCCGTGTATCCAACTTGTTACAAGCTGATGTGTCTGCCCTCCTACCTCTAGGTGGTGTCTATGTCCACCCTCAACAATCCAGGCTGGCCCTGGATCTGTTTGAACAAATAAAAGAACACAGTGGTGGTGACATGGGGAACAAGCTGAGGAACCCAAACCTCAAGAGAGCTCACAGTGTGAGACTCCCCTTTCTTGGGGGTGACCCCGGAGAGGCCATCAAGGAAGATGAGCTGTGAGAAAGCCCTCCTAGGAGGACAGAGGCCTGGCCACTCCAGGGGTCCCAGCCAACCAGGCCCCAGCCAAGCAGTCAGCTGAAAGGAACCCATGAGAGAAGCTGGTACTGGCTAGCAGGAGAGCTGCAAGTGATCCCACTCAGTCCTGGGAAGGATAGATAGATGCTGTTCTGAGGTTGAGGGTGGTTTCTTATGCCGTGACAAAAGCAGAGCTGACACGTGTAACTAACACTTCCTTTTTTAAAAAAAAAATTTCAAAACATCTAAGGAGATCATTTTATGCCTTTCTGCTACAGCAATATATGAGGTTGTCACCAAATATATACATTCTGAGATATATGAGGTGGTAGCTAGAAATGCACCAAACATAATTTTTCATTCTCAATCTTGAAGTTCATTTGACTTTAATTGGGAAACACAAAGACAAAAATTACTCATTTTATATAAAAACAACTACCACAAAACTGAACTTACATATTATTCTAATGTAACTTACACTGAATTATAAATTTGAAGGTTGAAGGTTAAATACCTTCAGAATACTTTCCTGAAACCAACAGCATTTACAAAAATGGGACTAGAGTTTTGTTTTGTTTTGTTTTCCTGAAAGTTCTCAGTAAAGCAAAGGAAAGCTTCATGACCACATTATCCCCAAAGCCTTAATTAAAGTCAGATGCTAAGGGAAAGCTCAAGTTCCTTAATATGATCTCCTAATTCACATAGAAAAGCATTCGAAAAATATTCCTCCATGCTTATTCACATAGCCATAACGGTCCCATTAATTTTATTTGTGAATTTACGTATGTTTATAACATCAATACCAAATTTAATAAAGACATCCCTAATTAAATGCCACCCCAAGACCATGTCCACAGGGAATCCCGAATCCATGGTTGTCTTCTACTGTTTATCTGCCCATCAGAAGGCTGGCAAGCACATCAGGTGACTGCAATCATTTGAAACACCCAACATTCCTATATAAAGTTTCCCCAAGGTGTCTCTAGTGAAGCTGGGAAGAAATATATTTGTATATAAGTTCAAGCATAACGGCGGAACCTGACTGCAAAGCCTACACTTGCAGGGGAGCTATATTCAGAGTTGCCATGGCAGCCTCCCACGCGCGCACACACACCACACAGAGGGCTGGTGAGGAGAGAGAGCAGTTAGCAAGCATGGAACCCATTGTTAACAAGACAGAGGTGCTGTCCATGTGATTGCCAGCAGGAACCCTAACTTTTAGTTTGAACTGATGTTTAATGATAGAAGATTTCCGAGTGCTGAAGTGTCTATTAAATGTCTACCATCTGCATCCTTGGCTTTAAACCTTCCTGGATGCTAAGATTATGCAGGAGAAGATAATTCAACTGAATATGCACACACCAGGGCTAATAAGATTTAACATTTTCCTCTCCAGAACACTCAGAAATGTTGGCACCAGAAACATTTGTGGATCTATGGGTTTGAGCAAGTTACTTCATTTTCTGAGTTTCCTGATCTGTAAAATGGGTATAATAATAGTACACAGTTTAAGAAAATGTTGTGAGGATTTAATAAATTGGCACTAGTTATCACTTATTAAATAGCAATAATAATTAATGTTGAGAATACATAAAAATTAATAAAGTTTATGTAAGTTGGTAATGAAGTGACTGGTGCCCAGCACATAGCAAATGCTCAATAAATGCTTGCTGTGCTAATAATTACTTAACTATCTTCAAGTCTTCAATACAGACTAGAACAGAATGGTTTATAATTCAAAAGTTGCTAAAAAAGTACATGCAAGTGGCCAGCGGATCAGAGGCAAGACAAGATATTAAGATCCTTCCAGTACATAGAAGGATAATGTCTTCTCCCATAGCAATGCCTCTGAAACACAATTTTGCTAGAATAAAAAGGTCAAGTATATTACTATCATAGCACATTCACCACCACTGGAAATCATTGGTTACACAGCAAAATATAATATCCATAAGTGCTAAAATATTCATGCACCAGTATCTGGGGTCAGAGAGTATTCTGGAGTTTGTCTCCCATCATTGGCTTGATTACATATTCATAGGCAGATATATTTGCAATTCATACTCAGATACAAACATAAACATCAGATTCAGATGTGAAGGCAACAAATAAAAGGTATTTTGTGACTTCTGGCTCACTCAAGTTTTAAAGCTCCATTTTAGGGCTGAGTACTTCATATTCGAGGAGAGGTGAAACATATCGTCAAGCAATTCAGTGAACGGGAAGTCTATGCCTGGGTAAGCATAATTTATACTGAACCCCTCAGGATGTGATGGAGAGAGCAAAGCTGGTGAGTTGAAGAAGTCTGGGGGAGATTAGAGAAGCAGCATCCACAGCACAGGGCAGACAGGGCAGGGAGGGGCTGCCACAGGCACAGTTCATAAAGCCAAGGGGTGGTGGGAGACAAGACTGATGAGATAGAATTGCATCCTTATTGCTACAAAAATTTTCAAAAGATTTCTTTTTACTTTATTTTATTATAAAGGAGTGGGGTACAAGTCAGGATTTGGTGTATATGCAATGGGCCTTCAACTGGTCTTCACTTCCCTTGGTTTAGAATCAGGTACCCTTTGTGTTGTTAATCTCTCCCTCCCACTCCATCCCCCACCCCAGCAGTGTCCCACAACTGCCGATCCCTCCCTTGTGCTATTGTGAAAAATGTTTAGGCCCCACTTATGACTGAGGACGTGATATTTGGTTATTTCTGTGATAGGTTGCTAAGAAAGATAGTCTCCAATTCCAATCAATCTGCTGAGAAGTTCATGATTTTGCCTTTCTTTATGGCTGCGTAATATTCTAGCACATATATGTACCACATTTTCTTTATCCAGTCTACTTTGGGTGGGCAATAGGGTTGGTTCCATGTTTTTGCTATTGTGAATAGTGCAGCAATAAATGTACATGTGCAAGTGTCTTTTTTGTAGAATGATTTGTGTTCCTCTGGGTAAATTCCAAGGAAGGAGGTTGCTGGATGGCATTTTTTAAAAGTCCAAGCAATGAGGGATAGAATTAACTTGGCTTATAAACTTTAAAAATGTTAAAATGCATACTTCATGGCTCCTAAAATGATCCTACCATTGTGACTGTTGAGTGTGATTGTCTATTTCTCCTCCTAAGTCATCCTTCTCATTAGGAATCCCCATTTCCAACTTCAAGTAGAGGTGTCTCGAGGTATTGATAAGCATTTGCTCTGTTTTTAATAACAGCTTGACATGATGGTATTGGAAACATTTCCATTGTCAAATCACTCTCTAAGTGTAAAACAAATTCCAAGTTTTTCCAAGTCATTAGAAATTATCAAGTTTGGTTTCAAATTGGTCCTGAGTCTTTACAGATCCCTTGTCAATGAGCTGAAATTGGAGGGAAGCAGACATTGGCATCATTGGGAAGGAGAACACAAAAGACAGTACATCATTTGACCTTCTTGCCAACGCTGGGAGTCCAGCTCCACAGCTGCCAGGCATGTCCTGGTAATGGAGGATGAGGCTGAGGACACCTTGCTGAGATCAGGAGCCTCCACCTCCTACTTCTGCTCAGGGATATTGTACTCACTTCAATTGAGGGTCCTGAGACAGCTGCACTTGGGGCCTGACTCTGACCACTAATATGATGGCACATACTCAAGAATAAAAGAAGGAATAAAAGAAAAAATAAAATGTCTAAGGACACTATGGTTACTCCTATGAGAAAACATCAAAACCTGATGGAGATATTATGATGAGATCATGACCAACAACAAAAAAGCTTTCTAGAGGAAAGAATGCCCCCTTTTCCATCTCGCCAGGGAATATGAGAGCTTGAATAGGCAGCTAAGAGGCCTGGGTAGTTCTCTTAATTGTGCTATTACAAGTTTATGAGGAATGTGACTGAACAAATTTATTTCCATTAAGTCATATTTAACATAAAGACAAATATATTCTCAAATGGAATGCAAATGGCTATATTTTTTAATACAACTAACTACCCACACATAATCTCATGAGAGCCCACTGACTTGATTTTATTCACAGTATAAATAGCTATTATTAAAAATAAATTAAATGGCCTACAGAAAGTTGTTAATGTGCCATGAGCGACTTTCATTATGCCAGGGAAGAAGGATTTCTACATTGAAAAAATGAACAGAAATGCAGAGCATTTATAGAGTACAGTATAGATGAGTTGTAGTCCTTACTTACTGTCAGATACATAGCTGCATAGACGCTGAGAGCGGCTTCTTTGGATGGGAAGGTTTTCCTGGCTCTCATGATGAGATCTGGGTTGCCAGTGCAGGCCTCCTCCCCACTGATGAACTGTGTGTACTGCTGACATCCTAGTGCTGTGTAGTTAGGCTTACACAGGGCAAGGAAATGCGGGGCCAGGTTTCCTGTGACTACCTGCCCTGCATTCACAAAGATATCTGTAGCAAACAGTCCAAATGTATAAATTCCTGGGGAAGAAGAAAAACAGTGTTAATTCTTTGCTGTGTGTGTTTGTTGGAAATATTTTAGTAACTACACGATATTCCATACATGTATACACATAGCTTCTTTCATTTCTCTCTGTCCCAGCTCTTCTCTTGGCTTTATGGAGTACTGGAAGTGGTAAATTATTTAATATATTGAGCTGTCTACTACTGGCTACATTTTTATGCCAGGCAGGCTTATAATACATAAGATAAAAGAAGAAAAAATATAACTTAAGACTCTGTTTGGATAATGAAGTTTTTAAAATGGAGTCATGTATTCCTTGAGAGGGTAGAGACTATTATGTTCTACTCATGTTAGTAATTTCTCTATTTTCCTATGTTTGAATTTTTTTAAAAAAATCTCACCAACATAAAGCAAAGCAGTTGTTTCTCTGATTATGCCTCTTAAGCCCATTCAGGATGATATTAACTCTGTGGGAGATGCCAATTAGCAGTGAAATCCAGGGTCATCAGTTTTCATTGAAATATCATGGAAAAACTTAAGTAAAACAAAATGCTTTCAGATTAATCCCAACTTGCCTTCAGAAACATATTTTTAAAACTCACAGAACAGCAGCCGGGCTCGGTGGCTCAGCCTGTAATCCCGTGCCTTTGGGAGGCTGAGGTGAGTGGATTTTCTACAATAAATCAAAAAATCAGCCGGGCGTGGTAGTGCATGCCTGTAATTCCGGCTACTCGGAAGGCTGAGGTGGAAGGATCGCTGGAGCCCAGCAGGTGGAGGCTGCAGTGGCTGGGAGCGGCCACTGCACTCCAGTCTGGGCGACAGAGTGAGACTCCAACTCAAAAAAAAAAGAAAAAGTCACAGAACAGCTAGTAATTTAGTCCTACCTTACCTTTTATGGAATGGCTGTCAATTTTTCAAATTTGGGACAATTTAGTAAACAATAGGCAATCAAAATTTTAACTTGTCTTTATAGTCTTAAAATGTATTTGCTTTGTTTACTGAAAGGCATAAGACTAAGTGTAGAGATACTTTTTCTCCTTTTGTAAGGAACTTGCCAATTTACTTGGATACCAAAAGTACTTTCTAAATTCAGTCATTGGTCATTATTGTCAAAGCTTATTTTTCTACTTAGATAGACAAAACAAATTGTTTAGCATTATTTCAATTAAACTTACAGATACAACTTTCAAGAATGTGGTACCAATATAAAGAAATCCATTCTTTTCTAATTTTGAAAAATAAAATCCATTAGGACCTTTTAAAACTATACCAAAATAATACTTCCCACAACAGTTGGTTCATTTAAAAATTTACATATAAGATGTCTTTCTTCTTAGTCATTTATTTCTAGAGTGTTTGTTTCCTAGGCCTTTTCCACATTACTGGCTGCTCTACAGAAAGCCATCATAAAAGTTGTGCAGGATCAAATAATTTTCCAGTATTATTATATGCATAGCTATTCTTTATATTTTTAAAATATTATGCAAGATTATAAAGGCTTGCACACAAAAACCTGCACATAGCAAAACTCTATGCGTATCCAAACAGCAATGAAACAAAGACATTAGTTGTCTCTTTATCTAAAAATTCTAAAAGGAAACAATAAGAGGCCCTTTCTTTACTTCTTGCCAGTATTCTATGAGTCATACAAAGTAAAGAGCTATCAAAATCAGAAATTTGGGAGAGGCAGAGAAATTAAAGAGAACTGAGCTCAATTAAATGTTAACAGGTGCAGCCTCTCCTTCCAAAATCTCATGGCCACGCACTGGAGCCTAAATTGCAAGTCTTCATCTGTACTCCTTTGAAATCTAGGCTAATGTGTAATCATTTTAGTTTACTAATCCATTCTTTATATCTGGTGTGATAGGTTTTCAAATAGAGGAAGTTAGTTGATAAGAATACGAAAATATCTCTTGGTACTTGAAAAACTCCCAAATGTGTTGTAGAATTCAAATATCAGTGCATCAGACCCTAGGCCAATATTTTAGTTGACTACAAAGATCATTAAAAGTGAGAACCCATGAGTCTATCTACTCTGCTGACCTCAAAAATAACATCACTATAAAGAGTGGTATGCTATCACAAAGTAAGACTTTGATTATAAGCTTCCATTTTATTATAACTAGAAATATCCAAATCATAAGGGTACAAGAAACAAATGAAGCTTTCCTAAATGTTTTGCAATTATATAATAAAAAGCATACCAAGATCTGAAAGCACACTTTATTTTGAGCCATATAGTCTTTTTTTTTTTTTTTGGAGTCATATATTCTTTAGAAATATGTGTGCAAGTGCAGAAAAATGTTGTACTTAAATAGACATAATATAATTTGCTTAATAGTGTTTGGTGAAGAAACACATCAATGTCATTAAATACTTTTGTTCTGAGAATGTTATTGCTTATTGTCTATTTTGTTATTAAATGACTCTTATTCAAAGAGAAATGAGTTAATAACAGAAATGATACATGTGAAAAAAATCACTTTTTAAGATTTGATATAAAAATTATCCATTCTACAGGATAAATGAGGACTTTGGAGAGACATAACTTGATGTTGATTCAAAAAAAAAAGTCTTGGATACGAAGACCTTTCATCTTCAGAGAGATCTAAGAGCCTGATGACATTTAGCTAGTCTTTAATGGGTTTATATATAGATTAGATGATCTATACATAAAATCTCCAAGGTGTCCATCTTGATCCCTTCAATATGAGAAATATGTTGAAGAATGACAGTATCTTTAACACATCTCTTAATACTAATCAGAATTTATCTTAAATGTTATTTAGTTTACACAGATATACTTATTTTTATCTAATAAACCCAGCAAATTCATTTATATTAAATTGTATTGTGTCGGTTAAAAAATTTGTGCAGGCTAAGTTCCTACTGAATTGAAATGCTTTTCAATAATTAATCAATGATCATATTTATTATTGCTAGCATTTGAGTTGAAAGTTAAAATATTCGAGAATCTTGTCCTGCAAGAAAATCACCAATACATTTTATACATAAAGAACAGCTTAGAAGTGGTACATGACATGCTTAGTATGCTAATTAACAAATACTACATGTCTTCTGTTTGTCAAGTTATTTTTCTTGTCTTTCATGATGTTTAACATTATCACTCCCTCACTACAACATTGTTTCTAAAATTTCATAACAAAGTCATTTCTTTTATTATAAAATTAACTATATAATTTCATAAACAGAGTAAGACATTTATTTTAATTATGTAATTTGTGTTTTCTTAAAATAATATTAAATATCTAAGTGTGGTGTTCTTTCTCCCTTAGAGTAATGTGGCAATGACAGCCTGAAGTAGGGTCCTGCAATATTAGAGAGAAAGCAGCATGTAATGTTTATTTTTAAAACCAAATTGAAACACTTCCAAGAAATGATAACCTATTATTTGCATATAGTTAAATACAGGTCATTTTAAAGGTTACCTTATACATAAACATTGTTTCAGCAACAATGAAAACAAATGAATGAGTACATACCAAGAAATCGGACAGTTCGGCGCACCAGTGGGTTTATATAGCAACAGTCTCCAGTTAAAATAGTTTTTTCTTGGTTTTCAAAATCCCTTGTGGCTAGTTGTAGGCAAAACACAGCAGTTTCTCCAACTATTATCTTGCAAGGAAATAAAATATTTAAAAATATTATAATTTAATCAATATAAATGCAGAATATTTTTATTTTAAAAAATGCAAAATGGACCTCTTTTGAATTGCAATAATCTCATTTTGCTGTAAAATGGAGCCATATTTGATTACCTTTTATTGTACCCATCACCCTATGTATATAAACCATATTTCTCTCAATTCTGAAGAGTACTAAATTGATGTTATGAATAAAATAGACTATAACATTTTTGCTTTCTAAGTTTTTTCACTTAAAAAATGAAATATACAAAGGACCTTTAAGGAAGTACTCACTTATTTTTTATGTGTAATTAAATTCCACATTTTATCTTTTAAACAACTGTATATTATTTAAATTTGACTCAGGTATAGAATTAAGAACAGATTCTCTATGCCAATGTTTTTGAACAAATCTGGTAGAGACATACTAATTTAAAATCATATTGACACTTCTATAGCAATAAAAAAACATTTTACACATATCTGGCCTTGAAATTATCCTATTCTGAGACATTGTTAAGAATTGGAATCATTAATATACTCGTTACACTTTACTACACAGGTTATTTTAATCTTCATAAAAACCATATGAAGCAGGAATAGTACCATACCCTCTTAACAAGAAACCAAGGTTAGAATACAAGTGCATTGCCCAAGAGCTGGTAACGAGAACCAGGTTCTGGCGTGATACTTTGCTCCACTCTGCTGACTTATTAAAAGACCTATCTGACTTGCATTGGTGCTTGTACCATTTGCTGTGGTTTTCATATACAATCCTCAAAATCACCCAGCAAGGTATTAAAGTAGTATTATTATCCCATTGTATAGATAAAGAAATAGAGATTTGGGGAGATTCAATAATTTGCTCCCCATGGAGCCAGTCAGAAGCCAAACAGAAACTTCAGTTAGTCTCATGTGTTTTGACTCTATTTAATTACCATAAACAACAGCACAAGAAATAAAATTAAGAAGAAACTGGTCAAGCTCGGTGACTCAGCCTGTAATCCCAGCAATTTGGGAGGCCGAAGCAAGTGGATTGCCTGAGCCCGTGGGTTCGAGACCCACCCGGGCAACTTGGCAAGACCTAGTCTCCACAACGTGGTAGTGCATGCCTGTAGTTCTGGCTACTTGGAAGGCTGAAGTAGAAAGATTGCTGGAGCCCAGTAGGTCGAGGCTGCGGTGGCCAGGAGAATGCCATTGCACTCCAGTCTGGGTGACAGAGTGAGACTCCAACTCAAAAAAAACAGAAAAGAAACTGCAGTCAATAACACGCCTGCTAATTGGTCATGGTCGAGTTTAGTTTTGGTTTGTCTTGTCAAGGATAATTGCATGCTATACAGGGAGTCCCTGACATTCCCCAGGGAAATGATTTGGGGGGGACAGGGGGTGAGGGAGAAGGAGAGGGAGGTCTCCATGAAAAGCAATATCTATGGTTAAAACACACTCAGAATAGTCAGTGGTAGTAAAGGTAAGAGGAGATGAGGTGTTTGGCCTGCTTTCGCCTCAATGTGAGTGACAGACCGTGAGGCATCTGCTCATTTTCATCTTTCTTCCTACCTCCTTTCCCTCCTTTCTTACTATACCTATTTTTCTGTGTTGGCCAGGGTTCGAGGTTAAGCTGGAAGACTGAGCTGAACTATATTAAAAGAGACTAGTCTTGCCTATCTGCAGAGCCTGGGTTGAATGAGGAAAGACAGGAACTTCCAAATTCCTCCTGAATTTTAATGTTGGCTCTGATGAAGCTGAGTTGGTGTGTGATGACACAGTTCATCCAGCCAAATGGGGCATGGAAATTACTTCTCATGGGTGTGTCATCTGTCAGCAAGGCCCTATTAAAAAACTGAGAAATAGACACACTGTGTGCCTGACAACTTCTGGATAACTCTTTCTCATGCTCTACCTCTTCTTCACTGACCCTTGGCAGATATCACCACCATGATGCTTTCTGGGTTTTCAGATTCAGCTTCTTCTGAATCTACTTTGCTGTAGAATTCTCCAAATTCTAATGATCCATTCATCATCCAGTCCACTCCATGAATTGGCTGGCTCCCCACATGACTGCTGCCTCTCAGCCTGCCTTTTCCACAGCAGTTTCCATTGGGCCTCCACCCCCGGGCTGGACCCACTCCATAGTACTCTGAACCCCGACTCACTAAACTCCCTACAAGACAGTAGGAATGCAATAATTCTTCCTGAAGGCATAAAGGAACCCCATCCTCAAAACACTCTCATCTGGACCTTTTGCTTGACTTCTAATAGCCAACATCTCCCAGTGATGAAGAATCTACCCTATGTCCTAGTTCTTATAACCAAGTCTTATATATGAGTCCCTGACTTGGAATTCTTTTCAGTTACCCAATTCCTAAGGGACCAAAAATGGCCTCATTTGGGCTCCCTCTTCCCAAGTCATTCTTCCCAGTCTTTCTTTTTCTTTTCTTTCTTTTTTTGTAGACTATTTTATTTCATGAGTTAGTACTTTTTTCAGAAAGTATAAACAATATACTTATTTCCCTGAGTATAAATAACTAATTCTACAATAAAAGACAGTTACAAAATGAAGCAATTGGAGGTACATAATTCTCTGCATTCAATTATACAATTAAAATCGATTCTTAGCCGGGCTCGGTGGCTCAGCCTGTAATCCCACGCCTTTGGGAGGCTGAGGTGAGTGGATTGACTGAGCCCACGCGTTCGAGACCCACCTGGGCAACTTGGCAAGACCTCATCTCTACAATAAATCAAAAACTAGCCGGGCGTGGTAGCGCGTGCCTGTAGTTCCAGCTACTTGGAAGGCTGAGGCTGAAGGATTGCCAGAGCCCAGCAAATCGAGGCTGTGGTGGCCGGGAGCGACCACTGCACTCCAGTCTGGGCGACAGAGTGAGACTCCAATGCAAAAAAATAAAAATAAAAATAAAAATAAAATAAAATTGATTCTTGAAACTCTCAGTTATGTTGGAACTTTAATGTTTCAAAAAAAACCAAAACAGCTCATTTTGCACCTGTGATATGAAGTATCAGTATGAGCTGTCTTTACCAAATTCAAGGGCAATCTTTAAAGCAGTGCTATTGAGGTCAACAGGCTGTGTGTGTCTTTCCAGTGCTGACTCCTTGCTTGCCTGTATCTCAGCACGTTTCATGTTTCTGAATTTTCTGCCTGAGTGTACTTGCCCAAATAGTGTCTCGGTCATTGTCATTTGGCTGCTGCTAAATCCGCTCATACTAGATTAAGCAAAATAGGGAATCAACTCCAGGGTTAGTACCCTCAGAACTTAAGGGAAGGGGTCAGGGATCAGTCCATGAACTCAGAGTCCTCAAGAGTCTGGGTGACAACAGTCTCATCTCCCATTCCCTTTCACTGGAGTCACAATGCCTCTCACTTGCACTCTTCTATATGTGCCTGACTCATTCCTACCTTTCTGCAAGTCAGTTTTACTTCCTAGCATACAGGTTCCCCCAACAGCCTTCAAGAACCTTATCTTGAATCACAGGTTTAGTTCAAGGAAACAGTTAAATTGATTAGATTTACCAAATGCCAATTCCAAATTCCCAGGAAGCCTGGGCTGAGATGGTTGTCTTTCCTGGTCCAACAAGACAAGGCCAAGAAGGCCTCTCAGGGTGTGTAAAAACCACCACTCTGTGGGAAGATAAAGTCATTCTTGAAAACAGAGTTTCTGTGACCATCTAGATGTCGACTTCAGACTCCCATCCAACACATCTTGATGGACTCCCCCAGGCCAGTTCTTGGCAGGGCCTGGCCCTTCCCACATGTCCTCTAGACACCACACTCTGTCCACCTGCTTGGACTTCAACTCATGAAATGCATGTGTCCAGGTCCTAGTGTCTGCTTTGGTCCAGTGGGCATGTCTAATTCACATGCTCTAATCCTCTCTCCCTCTAGAACTCACTGTGGTATCTGTAGAACTTCTCATCAAACCTTCTCTTGTAAGTCACCACCCAACTTTCTGAGTGAAGACTTCCATTGTTCACTGCTCCCAGATACATTTAAAGAATGAACATCAAATAACTATAGTTATGATGAATGCATTTAAATAAATGCCTTCTGCATTAAGGGCACAATGGTAGGCATTAATGTTCAAAGAAAGTTTTACCATCTAACTGGGTAGACTCAAGCAACATAATTAATAATGATACAAAGTTGCATAGACTGAGTTTTACTGGACTAGTTTGAACACCATGTGCTAGTAGAATACTTGGGAAGAAGCATCATCGCATTACTGAGGGAATCTGTGATGGCCATAAAACGAGCCACTTGTGTCTCCCGCTGCAGGAGGCTTGCAGCTGATGGCCCAACTGCTCTGGACTCAAGACTGTGTCCCTGCTGAGGTCATACTCCACACAGGCTCCTCCCAGCCAATGAATAAGCACAATGGGTGGACTAAGGGGATCCGCCCTCTGAGACCAGAGACAGCTCCAACCGGAAATTTTGTTTTAACAAATCCCAGGGCCTCACCAAATCTTTCTTGGAACTGTGCTTCCTAGCCTGTCAGACTACCCTAACTAGACTACCTAGTCTAGTATGCCAAGCACTTCCTACCCAATCCTTCCATATCCCTCTACTGCACCGGGGTCAGACCTCCAACATAGTCTGAAGACTCTCCTTGCTGTCTCTGGCTTCCCCCCAAACCTTTATCTTTTACAGGTGTTTCTTCCAATAAATCTTCTGTATGTCTAATCTCATTTGCTCCCTGTTTCTAGAACATAAACTAATAGCATCAAAGAAAGACAGATGTGATTCTGGCTACACTTAAAGAAAGGGTTGTCATCAAACCAGTGTAGAGGACTCAGAAACAGACCTGACAGGAAGATGGCATTTGGGGAGGAGAGGAGGAGCTCCCAGTAGATCTAGCTTGACCTCAACAGAGGTTAAAGTAAACAGCTAACCCTGGAGGCAGAGGCACACAGGTAGCACCCAGGAAATGTGAAGCATTCTCATAATCATTGAAAAAGTTGTCGACAACAAGAATATCA